GCTAGTCCCACCGTCGTGATGTGACGCCACGTGTCCATTCTATCCTTTAACCCGTAACAATACTTATTTTTAACAATATATTCACACAATAAAATATTCTACACATAAATTCACTTTTTTTACAGTTTTTAAACATGCATTCTCATAAAAATCATTATTCAAAATATTTTATTCCCAAATAATGGTTATCAAACAAGGTAATAGCCATTGAATTGTATGTAACTTTGCGTAAACTCCTGACAAATTTAAAAAAAATGATGAGATATATTCATAATGTCCGCGTTTGATGGTCATTATTTGGCCAAAACAACATTTTGAATAGTGATTTTTAAATATATATATATGATTTAAATGATTAAAAATGAGAACGTATAAAAATAGTTTAGAAATAATGGTTGTTAAACATGTGTAATATGTATTTCTATATCAAAATATTTTTGTCTTATTATCCATATATTATGGTTAACTATCGATGATAAAGTTTGAAAGGCATACGTCGTAAATTTAACAAAATAGTATATGGCAGTTTTAAAGAGGAAAATGACGTAAAATTCTCTTATATTAAATCATTCTAGTGAACGTATGGTTCTAAAAAATGTCACTGTACCCTTAACTTAGGTTATATTCATACACGGTCACAAAGCTTTTATTAGAATCACTCAACTTAATTGTTTCAAATTTCACATGTTCAACAAGTCTTTAAAATCATAAATAACAATTCACAATCATATCGCAACATATCTTCCACTTTATCGTGTGTGATTTTTCGACTTATCGCCAAGTCACATTACAAAAGTGAACAATCACACCTGTTAACCTAAAGCCGTTATCATAATCCATGTTTTACTATCTACATTTATAGGATGTTACGAGTGATTACGTAAATTATTAGTTGTGATATGACTGTCAACTAAGTAATTTTCTTTCGTTTAAAGAATTATAAACTTGGAAATAAATTTGGAATTCATTGATTTAGCCCTTGTTTGTTTGTTTGTCATTTTGTTTCTCATTTTTTGAAGAAATTAGACTGTTGGTGACTCTATCGACATTTTTTTTTTTACCGACATCTCACATTTTCAATGAATTGTAGGCTTCCAATGGTCACAAAACTCATTATAATATGGATAAAATGGCTGACAAACAAGGGCTTAATTTAGAGCTTGTTTGGGAGAAATTTTTGGGGGAAAAATTGATTTTGAATGGTGATATGATGAGAAATGTGTGGTTGAAAAAGAAGAAAAAGTTATTGATGCGATAGAAAATATTATTTTATTGAAAAATGTGTGGTTGAAAATGAGGATTGATTTACTGTAGAAAAATTTAATCTCTCCCAAACACGACCTTAGACAAACTTAAATTTTATTTATTTATTTTTATCCAATTGTGATTTCGCTAAAGATATGAGTGAAAAACGCTGATGAAATTTATCCCCTAAAGATAGTAAGACTGGGGGCGTGGTAGTATAAAAAATCCACGTCTTAATCCACGCGCGTAGAAGAAGGGCATATAAATTCAAATACGTTTTTGTATAAAATCTCAGTCTAATGACCTTTCTCCCTTTTGAATGGTTATGGTTATGATTATGATTATGATGCCGATCCTACCGTGAAAATCATTTATAAATCCTGATCCGTCTAATAATCTTTCAAATCCTCAAATAGGCTTATCTGTTTAGTATTGGTGCTGTGTGCTGCGTTTGATTTAGAGGGGAAAATCCTAAAAATAATTTGGGAAAAGTGAATTGAAGAGCATCGAACAATGCATTCGGTGCCTTCTAAGGATCTGGT